AAGTAAACTGTGGTCTACCTTATCATATAACTTACTGAAGTCTAAATATACTATAACCATAGCATTTCCTTGGTCCACTTATTTATCAGAGAAGGCAATATGATTTGTTTGCATAATATGTTCTTAACAAACATACGCTGGCTTCTATTAATTGCTTTGGTCATTTCTAAGGAGTCACAAATCTACTGCTTGATTACCTGTTTCAGGATTTTCCCAGGTACTGATGTCAAACTGACTAGACTGTGGTTTCCTGGAGTCACTTTTTTCCCTTTTAAAAGATCAGAATCATATCAGCTCTTTTCCAGTCCTGTGGTAGTTCTTCAGAGGCGTATGCCATTTTTTGGATTACAAGAAAAAGTATGAAGATTTAGAGATATTCTATTCCCTACCCCTACATCACACTGAGACTACTCAGATTTATCCAGTAGTCATAATTATATTATTTGAACATCCCACTGATTTCAGCAAGATTTGCTTTTAACTAAGGTATTTAGAATAGGGGTAAAATTTTGTAAGCATTTACACCTATGATTAGCTTTTACACCTTGTAAATTAGACACTGCTTTGAAAAAATAAGAAAGCTCCTACACAGTTACGGTAATCATGGCTGTCTTTTTCAGATTTCTAATGTTTGGTTTCAAAAAAATTGCCCTTTTAAAGATTTGATATGAGCAATAAATATATATTCTTAACAATCTTCTCTCATAATTTCTTTTTACTGAATGTTCTTTTTACCACTTAGACAAGAATACTCAGAAACAATTTTAGACTATAACATGAATGCAGGGCAAGAAATAGACAAAGAAAGAGAAAACAGAAACAAAAAATAGACAAAAATTATATTATTTGTAGGAAAATCATAACAATGAAAGCAAAAATGTCCCTATTCCAATTTTGTTTAGCACCCTGATGATAAATGAGGGCTATTCCATTGTCATGCATTTCATTGTTACTTTGGAAGATGTACTAACACATTGCATCCTGAGACCTTAATCCACTTATATCTGCAAAACTACATTCCAACTCATAATCAGTCCTATTTAGATATTTAGACAGAGAATACAAGAGGCAAGGGTGTAGATATCTGGGGAATCATGCCAGTGTACTCTCAGTATTTCCATATGTGCCATGCTCTGAATTTGCTAATTATGCACAGAGGTATGAAGGAAAACACAAAGCACTTTCCCTTAACGCATGCTATTTTGACATTTTCAAAGCAGTACTTAATTTATCAAATGTAAATGCTATGATCATTGCAGAAATATTAAGGTGGAGCTGCTATGCACAAACTGGGCTCTACCTAGAGATGCTCCTTAAATGCACTCAGCCTGAACAGTTACATAGGACTATTGTGATAAATTGCAAACTTCAGATGCAACAATATGAACGAGTCTTTTTTATCTCCTCTGCCTTTTTGTCCCTCCCTTGCATTTAATATTTATTGTATTTTATTTTATTTATCACATGTCTTATATCCTGTTCAATTACAAGTAGTCCTCAACATAATTGAGCCCAAAATTTCTGTTGTTAAGTGAATTTTGCCCCATGTTACAACTTTTCTTGTCATAGTTCTTAAGCAGATCACTGGAGTTAAGTTAATAATACGGTTAACTGAATCTTCCTTCTCCATTGACTTTGCTTGTCAGGTCACAAAGTTGATCACATGACACTGCAACCATCATAAATATGAGCCAGTTGCCAAGCAAGTGAATTTTGATCACATGACCATGGGGCTGCTGCAACAGTCATGTGAAAAAATGGTCATAGGTCACCTTTTTCAGGGCCAATATAACTTTGAAAGATCATTAAATGAATTGTTATAAGTCAACTACCTGTGCTAGTCTTATTATGGTATTTATGTATTACAAGATTTATATTCCACTTCAAAACCTTCTTGATGAAGAGTTTCAGAAAATTAATTATTTTGTTAACATTTTTAATGGATCTCATAAAAGCATGTCCTATTATGCAATCTTCAGCTTTTGTAACTGATTAAATATGAGCTTCTAGGCTATTACTGTCTTTAATAAAGACTCACAACATACTGGATTTTGGTAGATGAATAGAGACATTCCTTCTGTGCTAAGTCTTTGCACTATGCTTATTTCAAGAATTTTCTTTCAGTTGAATCATAATTTGTCTAAAATGGTATAGGGTTTCCTGCCTGACTTCCAAGGACCCTTCCATCATCATCATCATCATCATCATGACTGTAATTTTAAAATATCCTAAAATTCTCTTAGCTAATTAGTCTCAACACACAAATACTGGGAAGAATTACTCATCTTCATTAGAAGAAATGGCTTTTTGGCTGAGTGAACTTCGGTATACAGTAAATGTTCTTGAAGCATTTGAACCATGGCATTTTTGAGCAACAACAAAAGCTGAAGGAAGCCATACCAATTGGACAGGACATTTTTTTTAAAAAAATAAAAGTAAACTTTTCACTTATTCATATTTTACATTGGAAATAACAAAATATTTGATGATGTAAATATATTTTACAATTTTTTACTTCTGTAATGCATCTGAGAATTTAAAAAAGAAAAAAGAAAAAAGGGCTTTTCATAAACAAACTTGTTTTCAATATTTATTTTCTTTGTAGTCTGATTAAAAAAAAATCAAATGAGCTTTTAGCAAGCTTTTCCATATCCTAATATTCAATGACAGGCAATTATGGATAGAATAATTTTAATCTTTCCCATACCTCATTAGAAATTTCTGATGTCAATCATGTTGATTCCCATCTGAATCAGAATTGTTTGGAAGTAATTTCCATTAATTTTAGTACAAATGTAAATAAAGACAAAATAAATAAATCAGCACAAAAGACATGATTCTGTAACTTAGTTGATGCAAATTATAATCTTCATCAGTTATCTTTACTATGCTTTGTGCAAAAGTGAAGCTCTGAACTGGTAAGAATAATCTTGATGATGATACATCCTAAAATAACTCTATGCTTATTTTAGATGAAAATTCTATAAAATTTAGGTTCATTTTCAGTATATTAAGAAGGATATTCTGACTTTCAAACAAATTAGGAACTGGAAAGTATCACATTTAGCACCAATACAGCTGCAGGATTTTCTTTTGATATATTTCTATATCTTTTGTTCTGCCTTTCAAGCATTCAGGTTGGATAGAAAATTGCAGAAAAGAGATGTTCCTTTATGAAATTTGCCCTCCTCTTTTTCTTTATATTGTTATTTTGTACTAAGAACAGTGTCCCTTGTTTATTACCCTGGAACATTCAATATTTGAATCAGCTGTTCTGAACTTTCTCTTAATGACTGACAAGCAATGGTCTTTATTTGTTTGTTTGTTTTGTTAGCCACCCATATCATTGCAAGGCAGTGATATTTATGCTGGAAGAATTTTCATTTTCTGTCACTGGCTTTATTTTTCTTTGTTGTTTTCAGTTTATATACTATTTGTCTCCTGTTCTGTTGCAGTCTTTTCCCTTCTACTTTAGGTCTCTTCTTCAGAAATGACTTTTTCTCGAAGATGACTGCAGGCTATTCTGATCTGCAAATTAGAAGTTATTTCTTTTTCAGTGCTGATTACCCAAATCCTTTGTTCAATGTGTTGATGTTCCAAGAATTAGCTCTCAAAAGATTTCACACTCTTTTCAGTGTGAAAAAAGAACATAATGAAGGAGCTGCCTTGAACATTAGTAGAAAGGTTGCTATAAATCCATAAAACAAAGGAATTAATAAATAATGTCAATGCCATACTTTTATGTGAAAGGTGTGTGTTTTCAGAATTTAGCAAGAATACGTTTCTGATCATTCAGAATGTAATAATGGCTTAGAAAAAATCGGTTGTCAAATACCTTATTTGAGGCAGCCTTCTTCAACCTGATGTTCCCAACATTTGGGACTATAACTTTCCTAATTCCCAATCAGCATTATCAAAAGACATTGGATGAAGAAAAGTTTATTTCAGGATTCTCAAACGCAGTTCTAGTCTATTCAGGAATGGAGAATATACAGTAAGGGACTGGATAAGGCGTCAGTGCCGTTCAGAATTGCCACCTTACAGCAATGTTACTATGACAGAAGTAGAGAACTGTTAAATGCACAGCAATAACCTTTAACTGGTTTAAATTATATCAAATTTAGTTTTTATTCTGGTCCCATCCATTTGGATCTCTGGCACACCAAGGGTCAAGTATAGCATTCAGTCCCCAAAGTGGTACAGCCTGCTCAAAATAAAAGCCTCCTCATTAGAATGATTCCAGCACTGGAGAGACAGACAAAAGGTAATTGTTCAGCATTTCCCTCTAGAAACAGTGAATTCCTTTCTTTCTTTCCTCCTGAAGGGATAGGAAACCTGTTAGGGTGATTCTTTTCACAGAGGAATATGACTACTGGCCCAGAGAAATTTCTTATGAAATTTCTCCTTGAAGAAAGCCCCACCTTTGTTGTTCAAATATCTTGACAAGGTGTACCACCTTGTTTTTCCATAATACACCCAATTATCTTTTAGTGAATAATTTCATTTTGTATTTTCTAACTATCCACAGAAATATCAAGCACTTTCCCTAGCAGTTGCTGATAGACTTTTTGGTTCAAAAAACCCCAACCCCAAAACAATACAAAAACAAAACTATCCCTTGGCCACTAGCATTGGCTTTTGTTTTATGCAAATGGGACATCCTGCAAGACACAGGCTGATCTTGTCCTCTACCCTGATGGTTAATATCCAGCAAGAATGATCACTTTATACTTGAGTTGGCACCTATTGGCACTTTTGAGTTTTCCTTTACCTTGGGAAAAGAAGGGGAGATGCTTCCCCCCCCACCAAGTTTTCGTCCCTTATATTGAAGAGAGATATTTCTGAGAATGATTACTATATTCCTTTCTGGAAACCACGGCTGGTAAGTGCGGTATGTTCGGTCAATGCTAATCACTTTAGCAGCTCCTGAACGAAATCCGAGAGGCTCTTGACTGGAGTCCCCCCCCCCGCAACCAGTCAATCAAGCGCACTTAGCAAGGCGAGGCCGAAACAATAGCGCAAGTGCCTTGCTGCTATTCTCCTCTTCGCTTGTCCTACGGACCGCGAAAAGTTCGCCCGCCTTAATCTGCGCGAGATGAACTAGCGCAGATCAAACCTGCTCTCCGTGGTGGCGGCGAGGGCGGCGGCGACTGGGCGGGATTCCAGACGGGATATCATTAACACGAACAACGCGCTATTTAAGCCCAGTGACTTAATGTTCAGTTGTGGCTACCTAATCAATTTCCACGCGGGCAATCAGAGGTCTTTTTATTGGACTTTATCATCTATCAGTTCCACACAACCTGGTCAATGGCAAAAGGGACTGTGGGGATTATAGTCCAGAGCAGAAGACAAGGTCGCCTCCGCCACGTTAGGGTTATTTTCTCCGGTGGCTTGCCAGAACCGTGAGCAAACAGATGCTTTGCCAAGTTCTTTGAATTCTGTCCAAAGGTTGCCTCCTCTCCGTTTCTGCATACTAATCTCTTAAACTTGCTCAGCACTAACGCGCGTTGGGTGTGTACATATAAAAGCACTCGCTCCGTGCTGCCATGCTTTTTATCGCAACCTACAGGATTCCCTCCGTGCTCTGATTGTGGGCTAAAGACAAACCGGCTGCTGCTTCTCAATTCAGGTTTGGCGCAGCATTTCCAAGAAGGAGCGCGGGGGCACCAGCAGCAGTTTTCGGAAAACAGCATCCCCACATCTGTGGTTGCAGTTAAAGAAGAGGTGGGGCTTCGGCGGGATAGCCGGGCAAAAAAGCCACGCTCTTGTCGGATTGGCTGTCTTTGGGTGTGATGTCACGTCCGGCGAGGAAACCTTGTCTTGTTGTGGATCCGCCTCTTTCTGGTTTTGGCTGCGTTTGCAGGTGGTGCTGCTGGTGCCGCTGCTGTTTCGTGCCGCCGCCACCGTCCGCGGGTGCAGCGGAGTCATCCAGGCGCGCGCGCGTGTGACTCACTCCTGCCTGGGACAGCTGCGCTTAGTCCGGCCGGGGAAGAGCGCCTGGTGCCGCTTTTTTCTTCTCCTTCGTCGTTTTCCGCGCTCAACCCCCCCCCCGACTTGTAACCATTTCCCGGTCTTATTAGCATCATTTGGGTTCTCCACACTCGGCAAGATCTGAAAAATGAAACGTCTCCTTTAACTGTGCTTAAGAAAAACAAAACCAAAGGATTTTTTTAAAAAGAAAATCACACATTGTGTACAAAAGCTGTGTTTGTTTTTTCTATGCAACCTTCTCTCTCTCCTTTTGTTTTTGGAGGCGATCCCGGGAGCCGGCACGCGAATTTCCTTCGCCGGGATCTGCTTTTTGAGAGTGGTCGTTGAGCATTATTATCTCGAAGTTCAGCCTCTTCCCACCTTTCACCTCTTTGCTTTCGAAGTGCGTCCCTTGGCCGCGTCTTCCCTGTCTGGAAGTGGCCTGACCCCCGCCGCTGACTTGGCCACCTTGCGCGCTGTGATTGTATTGTTCGCCGCCTCCCCCTGAAGGGTTTTGCTTGTTGCCAGCGGGGAGAAAAAGGCAGGCATCCGAAGGGAGGGATGCCCAGCGGAAGGAGGGGTTGAGCGATCACCTCCCCGCCACCAGCCAGAGCTCTTGAAAAGGAGGACCAAACGGCACGCGGAGACCGGCGGGACCCTGCTCCCTTTTTTCCCTCCCCCCCGCGGCGGCTGCAGGTTCCTTGTAAACGAGGGATTGGGGCACGCGGCAGGATGCGTTTCTTCCCGGAGGGATTTTGGCTACTGTGTGTCGCCGCGACCTGTTCGGCCAGGAGTGAAGGTGGCAACAAGGCGAGGAGCTGCTCTGAGCTCCGGCAACTCTATGGAGCGAAAGGTTTCAGCCCGAACGTGGTTCCCCAGGCGGAGATCTCCGGTGAGTAAGCTGCCTTTACGCCGTTCTCCTTCTCCTTCTCCCCTCCGCCCCCGCCCGGCTTCTGCACGGCGAACAAAGAGATTTCTAGCTGCTTTAACGGGAAAGCCCGCCGCCCACTTCTAATAGCCTGAGGAGAGACTGAGATGGCCCTGGGGTGGCGGGTTCAGGCAGGCGGTTGAGGGTCGGGAAGCCTACTTGAAAAGAAAAGAAAAAAAATGAGAGCAAATCGATCTCAGCAGCTGAGCCTTCGCTAATGGGGAGGAAAAGTCTTCATGCTTGAGCCAAGTGCTGTTTTCCCTGAATAAAGGCAAGCGCGGCTGGGATGAAGAATCCAGCTTTAGATATGACCTGAAGAATGTCCCGGGTATTTTTAAGAGCTTAAGCCTCGCACAGTGTCTCGCTCATTTATGAGGGCGGGTCTGGATCTTTACATTCCCTGGGGTTTTAAATAAAAAGGGCTGATTGTAGCGTATAGCTATTCTAACCAGTTTGAATTCATTTTTTTAAACGTTAACCTCTCTAGCAATAGCTTGGCTCTAGAAACCATGGGGGAACTTCACACCATCTCTCACTTTACTGTGCCTTTTTTATAGTGCCTTTTTTCTTTTCATTACATTTAATTTTGCTAGTACTTTGTTAACTTTCTGAAACTCTGCAGGGTTACAACTACCATCCTTCCCAGCATCACAGAGGGTACTGTAATATGGAAAGTGGTTCCAAAAAGTCTTGACTGCCAGGAAGTTTAATATGTGTACAGCCTTTTCTTCCTAAACCAGCTTTTGCTGAGGACTTTTTAAAGCAAAAACTGAAATCTCTGTGAAAATGCCTAAGTCAAACTGTTCCTTTAAATCTAGAGCTTGTGATGTTTGCTCATATTTAAGACTGCTTCGATCTCAAAGATGTAAATTTTGATGTGTATTTACCAAGAAGAAGTCTTATTTCTTTCCATTCTTCCTCCACTCTTTGCTGCATAATATTGGGGAGGGCTGTGATTTGCTGGTATAGTTTAAAAATAACTCTGTTCATAGCATGTGGCTATAATGCTTGAGAAAATTTGAGTCAGAAGTCCTGTGAATAATAAGAAAGACTGTGATTGGTTGCAAAGTTAGAGAATGCTATAAGGTAATAAGAGATGGTATGTTTCATCCTGGTTGGGAAAGATTAAAGACCAGCTGACAATTAAAAAAAAGACACAAATGCTCAGTTGTTTGACATTTGTAGCTGAAGACAGCAAGAACTCCCTCTTCCAAGCTTATTGAATAATGTAATTTGACTAACTTGCTTTCTTTCTGCAGCTTTCCTTTTTTTTGTAGTCCTTATAGAAATTTATAAATGGAAAAATTCATACGTTCTTGCTGGCATCTAAGAACTTTCTTATTGAAATTCAGCAATAGTTTACTTCAAAGTTAGCATCATAGCTCGATGACATTGATAATTCAAATTTTGCTTCTCAGTTAATTTTACATTGTTTGCCTAGAGATACATTTCTGTGACACTTAATTTTAAATAAATTACAATATTCTTGATTGCTACAGTTTTTAGGTATTGAGTGTCGGCTAGTAGATTACACAGAAGCATCTTCGGTTGTTTGAACTTGAGTTCAGATCAAACTGAAGTTCTAAAGGAATGTTTGCTTTTCAAATTGGATTGAACTGCCCCCTACAGAATGATTTCAGTTGCCTTAGGAATCCCCACTTAACTGCAATACTGGATTTCCTCAGTTTTGAAATATTCTTAAGTATTGTATAAGGAGGAAAGATCTTATAGGGCACTTGAGTAAATGCTGACTTTTATTTTTAACTCTCTGCAGTTGAGGATATTGATTGCTGTATGAGACTATAATGCTTGGGAAAAAGTTGTTTGAAAGTCTGTAGTAAACATACTTAGCATAGGCTTATGGACATTGTATCTGCAACTGTCCACATGAAATAACTACAATTTCCAATAGTTAAAATGGTATCTTTTGTTTCTTGGCTATATTCATACTGAATGCAAAATCAGAAATGAAAACTCTAAGAATTAAATTCATATATTTGATTTTAAAAAGTTGGATGCTTCACTTATCATTATGTCTTTGCTATTTAGTGAGAGAGTTCCTATTTATTTACTTACCTGAAATATTTGTATGGCTGCCATAGTGATTCTGGGCTGCTTACATTAAATTCAACAGAACCTAACAGAAAACTACAAAATCACAATACATAAATATAATAATACAAAATAGAATGATGATCCAAACAGAAATAGTATGACTACAACAGTTCTTGGTAGCAGGTTGGCTCTATAATGAGCAATAATATTTAAAACACTCATATATTTTCTGAATATGAATTTGGTTTTAAACTTAAGAGAGACAATAATCAATATATGGGTGTAAATACAGAACCTCTGAACATAGACCTTTTAAAATACAGAAATATGTCTGGAGGTTCGTTCTTTAGCTGAATTCATTCCAAACTCAGCAAACTAAACTATTCACCACCATCACCAAAACTATGAAATAGTGTGTTTTATCTATAGCCTAAGTCAATTTGATTGATTTACACTATAGTTCCAGGAAATATACAGAAATAAGCCATCCAAATTTTAACAGAGGGAGCTGGATGGCATATTAATTAATTAATTCAATCAATCAATCAATCCAGACAGGTGTTTTATGATTTTATTCACTCAAAAAAGCCTTAAGGTAAGAGAGTATGTTTGGCTTAAAGTTACTCATCAATGTCTAAGTCCAAAGTCTTAACTAGTATATTGGTCCTCTATATTACACTGGTGAGAGAAATCTAGAGATGCCTGATGACATTGCCAGCTCCCAGAAACTCAACCTCTACTTAGTTGATTGATGGTTGAAGAGAAAGAGAAAAAAAGAGGGCTTAATCCTGGAATGCTTGGAAAAAGTAATTTTGAACCTACTTACTTGGGATATTGCCATGGTAAAAATTAAAGCACTGAAAGAGAGACATGAGAAAGATTGCCAGCAACTGGAGAAGGCAGGAGAGTTAATGGAAGAGAACATTACCTAGAGGTGAACTCTACTTACTCTTGTATTTAATACTGCTTTCCCTTATACTTTAAAAGCCTTTGAAGCCATCATAATTCATAATCTGAGTCTGAAAAATGTAAACAGAATATACATTATATATACAGAACATATTAAGGCAGAATAACTAATATTTACATCAATATTACAACAATAACTGATTTGACATCAACGTCCTATTTTTTGGCATCCATAAATTTACTTGATTCACCTGATTTTAATTTTAAAAATCCATTTTTAACAATGGGGAATTAATGATATGCTGCATGACCAGTGTTATTTTTGTAAAAAAAAAAAAAAAAAAAGGTGCTGGAACTCACACACATCATACAACCTGCCTTGCCTACCCTACAACGTTCCATCCAAAAAAGGTGCCGGAACTCCGTTCTGGGCATTCTATGACAAACAAAAGCCCTGTGCAGGACTACAGCCTCCCCTACTATCCTTTGTAAAACTACCTCTGGGTTGTACAGTACATAGGCCCCCTAACAAGATCTGACATGTTCAAAAGCAAAGTGCCTGAAACCAGATTAGTCCATTACAATAAATAACAGAATAACAGAGGTGCCAACCATTACCTCCACTGAGATACAAATGGCTCTCAGTCCAGTGGAACATTAAGGCAGGAGAACATAATTGGTATCTGAGGTATACTAGCAACATAAGTATCTTATCAAAGTGATGTCCTTGAATATCTGGCCATAAGCATTCTGGTTCAAGTAGCAGACTGAGTGAAGGCTCAGAAAAAGGCAAACATAGTGGAAAAGAAGCAGAAAAAAAAAAGAATGAAGTATGCTTTGCTATAAGCCATCTGCTTATAGCGCTGCCAGATGTGTGCTTAAAAGGGAATTCATCAAGTAGCTGATTGGTGGTTGCCATATGCATTTCAAATTGGTAAGAACATGGATCTCCAATCTTTTGGCTTGCCTGGGCCACATTGAATGAAAAGGAATTTCTTGGGCTGCATATAAAATAATTTAGTTAATGCATATCAATAACATAATAAAGTTAAAAGTTTATGATCTTGTGGAGCTATGCTACTAACTGTCCAGGGCCTCATGTAGTCCATGGGACTTGATTTGGATGTGCCTGGGTAAGAATAAAGACTATAGAAAGTCATATTTGTGTTGTGCTAATATCAGTTTGGTATTAACACAGGTTTCATCATGTTTTGCTAGAGCATGTGATTTAGATAGTGAAGGAATTGTAGATTTTAAAATGAGAATTGCTAATGTTCATAATAGGAAAACTCATATGTAAAATACATTTATGTTACAAAGAGCTCTCTTCACAGCCAATTCTGTTTTCTTAATTTTTAACTTATTTGTTCCTTACAGAAACATCCTTCATATTCTCTTCTGCCTTTCCTGTAAATCATTCTCTATTGGCATTGTTTCATATTAATGGACATTTTGAAAATATTATATCTTCCTTTATTGGAGCTCTAGACAAACTATTCTTTAAGTTTCCAAATACAATGATCTTTCTTAGTTCATGACTCAACTTATAATTAGACACCCCATGGAGATACTATTACCAGTTTGTTTGTTTTCTGCTACCCAATTCCAATATTTGTATAGTGAAGGAATTGGCGTACAATTGCCACTGTACAAATACATTGATAATTAAGAGTTCCTCCCATTCTGTTTATTGTTCTGTTTTTTTCAGTTGCCTGGGAATTGTATGTGGTTGCATATGAAAATATTTTACTTTGTTATCAACTGAGTTGGTATGGAATATATAGAGAGGTACTAACTATATTCCTAGTTACAGTGTACAGATTGGGATATCAAGCTGCAACTTGGAGATTCAGGTTACTTTTGTTCAAAACAGTGAAGCAAGAAGAGAAATTCAACAGTTGTACTAGTAGATTTTTTTTAATGTCTGAGTTCTCTCTAAATTATACTTTTGGTTAATTTATAAGCCAAAGAGAAAGCTAGACAAAGGAACTGATAGAAAA